CAGCCCCCCTGGGGGGGTGATTTCTCGCTTTCTGTCTCTCTGTCTCTCTGGCGAGCACATGCGCCCTATATCAAAAAAACCTCTCCAAAATAATAATTACTACTTATTTCATTTTATTTATTCATTCACTTATTTTCATTTGACCAGAAAAAGACAGACACACAGAGAGAAGGAAAGTGAAAAAGCAAGCCACTAGGTCCAGGACTCGAACTGTGGTCAGCCATGTGGGAGTGTCCAGTGCCTTAACCATCATACCACCTGCTGGCCCCTCTTTCTCTAAATTTTCCAAAGGATCTGAACCAGATTTATTTTGCACCGCTCTCTCACAACATATATGCAAACACACACACATAAACACATGTCCTTCACCATAGCCATAGGGAACCACATGTCTTCTTTGAGCTTGCCATGTCGTCCCTCTTTGATTACCCTGTTCTCTTAGGTTAGTATGTCCTTCGGCCTCCACATCCACAACAATGGTTGAAGTGATCTCCATTCTTCAAAGCCTGATTATAATTTTACCACCTTCATGTAACTTTTTTTCTCATCTTAGTCTCCACTCGGAGTACACCATCTGGCATAAGAGATAAACAAGACAATCAGGTTCTGTACTACGATGTGATAATACTCTGGCTCTGTGTACACAGTGTCCCAGGAGGACTGGGGAGGAGGGTAGAAGCTGTTCATTTAGTTAAAAGTTGACACTTAAATTGACTTCCTAGTCTGAGGGCTTAGAAATCCATGAGGAGGCATTTATTTCGTATTTTCTGTTGATCTACTATTTTCTTTTTAATTTTTAAAGAACTATTTCCTCCATAAGTGAAGGAGACAGGAGAGAGAGAGAAACAGTTCCACCCCCAACAGAGTCTTCATGATCCACCCTAGCTTTAACCGGCCGTGGATCATGGGCATGCATGTGCCCATGACTCACAGAAGTCTCTGGACTCATACCTGGAAACTTCCCATGTCAGCCTTGCATAGTGTCATGTTTAACTACTGTGCCACTATCCAACCCCTAATCTGCTAGTTTCTTTCTTTAAAAAAAAAAAAATCATTTTATTAGGGCTGACAAGTGGCATGGTGGTTAAGGGCGCGCTGGACTCCCACATGGCCAACCGCAGTTCGAGTCCCAGACCTGGCAGCTTGGTCTCTCTCTTTCCC